CATACATACATACATACATACATACATACATACATACATATATATACACACGCACACATACATACATACACACACACACACACATACAGTTTGTTCCTAGGAAACAATTTCTAATTTTCTAGACAAAAGTTTGGATTTTGCTAAAATGCAACCAAACGAAAAATGGAAAATAAAACTACAGTACCATAATGTAATGGGAGGAAGACCCAAAACGTGACATTAAAACACACACACACAAAAAAAACTCAGCACTAGAAAATATACCATATATATCACGGCCTACCTTACATGCATTTGATTAAGGGCAAGATCCACTAAATGAAACCAGACTTTTTTCTAGGCAAGCACAGATAAGATATGTATGCCCTGTTTAAAAAAACTGGAAAGTTTTACTGCAGTAAAACCAAACTTCTTTCGCATGCTTCACTGAGGGAAAAAGATGGATTAAAAACAGGATGGCTACTTGCCAAACAGACATACGTTGACTCAATCTCCAAGGCCATCGTCCTAGGCAAAGTGCACTGAAGCTACACAGCAATTGTGCTAAAAGGTAACAACACCAAGAAAGTCTGTTCAAAGTCCCAGCCAGCTGAATTCTCCTTCATTCCACCCACTCAATTATTTAAAAAAATTGTCAATCAACATTCCGTGGTTATTTGAGCATGCTCAGTCCTCTCTGCTTTAAAAGTTGCCTGCCCTGTTTTGTTTTATTTAGTTTTAAAGAAGTTTTGATTTTAATGCTTTTAATACGAGGGACATTTTTCTCCTGGGCTTCTCAGTGACCCTGTTTTGTAGAAGGAGCAAGGCTTAAAATCCACACTGTGCTTCTTTATCAAATGCAGCACATATGCTGCAGAGTAGGAATTTTGTATGTGAAGATCTTAATAATAGCAACGTCCTTTCAGATCCTTTCACAAAACTTGGTTTCTTAGGATTCTTATGCTGCAGTTTTGTGCTGCATCTGCTTGACAGGATCGATTTAAAAAGCCAGCAACCAATAAGCTGGCTGACACTTATTTGCTTCCAAATAGGCAGGAAATTATGCAATGCCTGCTTTTTTAAACACAAAGGAGATATATATACAGTGTGGTTTGGTTGCTGAAGAAAAGTGCCATATAACTGATTTATTGCTGCGGCTAAAGATTCAGCAAGTCTTAGCTGCGGAAATGCAATAACCCTCCCAAATTAAATTTAAAAGAGGGAAGAGAATTTTAGCCATGCACAACATGAAGTATGTTTTTCCCCCTCCACCTTACAGGACAGATAAATTCTTAGCATGTTTACTTGAAATCTCTAGGTTTAAAGCCCTCTCAATACTCAAGTCTTCTGCACAAATTATTCTTAATTCTGAATTTATTTTCCACTTTTGTCTCAGTGTGATATTTCTTTCACTACCCCTTTGATGTCATTGTCTACCTGATGCTCTTCTCTTTTAAACTTATGTTTTCATCTCTCACTCCCTCACTCCCCCCTCCATATATAGGAAAGTTTATAGGTCTCGAAAAGAAATAAGCAATCTTAGGAAATCAAAATTTGCCCCTTTTCAAGGGATTCCCCCTTTAAAAAGTTCCCCAAGATCTAGCAAAGGGCTTAATTATTTCCCAACAATATACGTTTTTAAGAGAACAAAACTGAATTTGCACACTGTAGAAAACCTTCCCCCCCCCCTTTTTTTTGTGGGTGGGTGGGCGAGTGCAAGAGTTAAAACAAAAGCACCCCCTTGGGCAAACTTACTTCTAAGAAAAGTTTGGCTCTCAAGTTTGAAGAGAAAGATGAGCCCTTTGTGAGTCGCAAGTTCTTCGGAATCCCTTGCGGGCCGGGATCCAACACCCAGCCAGGATGAGGCCAGCAAACTGCGGATTAAAGCTGAACATATATATAAAAAAAGTATTTAATCACGTATTTTTCTTCCTGGGGTTCGCTCTTGCTCGGCCGCCCGCTCACTCGCGTTCCCATTGGGCTTGAGCATGGGCTCAGAGAGGATTCTGGGAGATGTAGTTTTGTCGCGTCGGTAAGATTTAGCTTCCCAAAGTCAAAGTCTCTCCGCTTACAAATTTGAAAAAGGAGAGACTTTGCCTAGCTTTCATAAGGGGATAAGGGGAAGATCCAGATTTCTGTGTTACTCAGAAGTCTGCAATTTCTTCACCAAAAAGGTAGCTTTTTAAAAAATGCATTTTTANATACCATGTAGGGCTTTAAAAGTAACGACTAGCACCTTGAAGTTCTTTCGAAGACCAATGGGCAGCCAGTGTAGATTGCGGAGGATAGGTGTGATGTGGGTATACTGAGGTGCACCCACAATCGCTTGTGCGGCTGCATTCTGGACAATCTGAAGGCTCCGAATACTCTTCAAGGTTAGCCCCATGTAGAGCACGTTACAGTAGTCCAGTCTTGAGGTCACGAGGGTGTGAGTGAGTATCTGAAGAGCCTCCCGGTCCAGATAGGGTCGCAATTGGTGCACCAGGCAAACCTGGGCAAAAGTGGAACTACAAGAATAATAGCAATAGCACTTAGACTTATATACTGCTTCACAGTGCTTTCCAGCCCTCTCTAAGCAGTTTACAGAGTCATTGCCCCCAACACTCTGGGTCCTCATTTTACCCATCTCAGCAGCCAGTGATCAACAGGAGTAGCCTGCAGTACTGGACTCTAACCACTGCACTACTGCAGTTCTTGATTGTTATCCTCTGCTATACAAGATGATAAGTTGAGCCAACCAAATTACTTCTGTACTTGTGGAAACATTTTCTGCCCAGGTATTTCAACAAAATAATGGTTCATTACTAGTGATGTTACTTCAGCTTGCAATATTTATGCAATTTTAGGATTATTTTCTTTGCCATCTTATCCCTTATTTTATTTATTTGTTTGTTTATCCATCCAACTGTGCCATCCAACTGGATTATCATAGATAGGCTTGTCGAGGGGTCGCTCGCCATCTTCTCCAGGATAGTAACAATCACTACAATAAACAGCTGTCTGTATGCGGTATTGCGTATCAACACTCTCCTTTAGCTACATCTGGTATACTCTGGGCCCATAACCAGTGTTAGGTAAGCAGAGTGAGTGCATTCATAGAAGCGTTGTGAGAGTTGTGTTGGGGAACACACAAACCAGCATACAGAAACACTGCAGTTTAAATAGGCTTTTACTTTCATGGAAATAGAGGTATCAGAGTCCATCAAACAGTCCAAGTC